AATCAGAGGTCACTGCAGCCTCAAACTCCTGGGCTCAAGTGATCAAGGTCTGCCTTGGCTTCCCAAAGTGCTGTGAGTACAGGCATGAGCCACTGCACCTGGCCAGAGTCATTCTTGATAATGATGAAGAACTTTAAAGTAATGTTGAGTGAAACAGGACACTGTCCAGAGACCATGGACAGCAGGGCTGAAGGACTTTGGTGTCAGTTGCCCTCTGTACAGCAACTGGGCCCACCTCCCGCCTCCTTTCCCAGGATACCCAGCTCCCATAGGGTGCTGCCTACCTTGGGGAGAAGGTTCCACGTAGTCCACCACAGCCACCTTCCTTCCCAGCTGAGCGGCTGGAAGGATAAGGAGAGCAGCACGTGAGCATGGGGAGCTGGCTCAGGACTCAAGAACAGGCACTCCTTGGGGCCTGTGAGTCCAGAAGAGCGTGGGCAGGGCCTGGGCCTGTGGCTGCCCACACGGTGGCTAAGCTGCACGATGCTAGGGACCCCTGATCTGCCTCTGCACTCTGGCCCGCTGAGCTGCGCTGCCTGCTGGCTCTGCACTGAGCCTCTTGCTGCCACTGCCCACCCAGCTGTGCTGCCCACACACAGGAGCCCTCAGACCTCTCAGGGCCTGCAGCCTTTGTACCATCCACGCCTCACAGTGCTGGCATCAGCCCCACCTGCCCCTGCATGTTCACCATAAGCCCAGCGCCCACCCAAGCATCCCTGGGTGGCATCCCCCAGGTAGCCACCCCACCGGGAATGGCTCCTGACTCAGAGGCTCTCCCTTGCCCCTTCCCAGCCCAGCCAGAGCCCCCTAGGTGGGTATTTGCTGCCTCACTGTCAGGACCAGGACACCAAAGCTCAGGAGAAGTGACGCAGCAGCCCCAGGGTAGGCCAGCCCCAGAGCAGGAGCCGAGTCCTGACTCCAAACCACACTTCCTGCGGCAGAGCCACCCAGCTGCCGTCCCAGCCATCGGCGGGGCCACCCAGGGCCACATGTTCTGAGGCCAACACAGAAACCATTAGCCAGGACCCGGCACGGTGGCTCATACCTGTTATCCCCGCACTTTGGGAGGCTGAGACAGGTGTATCACTTGAGGTCAGGAGTTCAAGACCAGCCTGTCCAACATGGTGAAACCTGTCTCCACTAAAAATAAAAATTTAAAAATTGGCTGGGTGTGGTGGTGCAAGCCTGTAGTCCCAGCTACCCAGGAGGCTGAGGCATGAGAATCGTTCAAGCCCAGGAGGCAGCAGCTACAGTGAGCCAAGATCATGCCACTGCACTCTAGCTTGGGTGACAGAGCAAGACTCTGTCTCAAAAAAGAAAGAAAGAAAAGAAAACATTAGCCAGGACTAATTTCAAGCTTCCATTTGGCCAGGCTTGGGCACTGCATCAGCAAACTTCAGGCCTTGGACTTGACTGCCTCCCAGGGCACACATAAATCTCATGAACCCTACAATGCCACAGGATGTGTTTGATTCATGGCTATTAGAAAGCAAGATTAGAACAAAGTTTTGTAAGAGTTCATTTTAAAAATCCATTTTGCTTGGCTGGGTGCGGTGGCTCACGCCTGTAATCCCAGCACTTTGGGAGGCCGAG